TATATATATATATATATATATATATATATATATATATACTGTCATCCCACTAGCGAATAGAATAGTATAAGCTCAATGGCCCAGATTCAATCTGGGCAATCTGATGGTCACAATTGTATTTTATATTTGTACTTTAATCTTTTTTTCAAAATCCAAATCACTTGAAATTTGGAGCGCCCACTCTTCTCATCAAGGCATACCTAATAAAAATATTAAATATAATTATTCAAAAAATAAATTGGCCACAATACGCCTATAACTTTCAAAGGTATTTTGATCGATTTATTGTTTATAAGCTATTTTTAATTTTTTATTAGGTTCGCCTATTGTTCAAGAGCAAACGCTCAAAATTTCAAGTGAATTGGATTTGTAAAAAAAAAAATTAAAATACAAAATATAATTGTGACTAGTAGATCGGCCAGGATTTAATCTTTGGCCCATTGGGCGTTTATTGTAAGTGCCAGCTAGCGGGCTGACCTCAGACCAACATGCAAGAATAGTATAGCAACATCAAAGGAAAATGATGCAATTTAACATAACTACATTTTAATAAAAGTAGATGGTGAACTTTTATTTTATATTTTTCTCAAAAAAACTAAAAGTTTATCATCAACTGCATCTAGAGATTGCGAGCAAGCCTCTTTACCTTCCCCCATGTCACTCAAACCTTGCTCTTCTCTTCTCCTGAGAAGAATAGCATCCAAATGAGCAAATATGATAACCAAGTTATAAATATAAATATACAACAAATATACAAATATACAAATACACACACATACATGCATATTTCATATGCGTGTATTTGTGTATTTAAAACACACAAACACATGATAACCAAGCTATAAATATAAATATACAAGTTTACAAACACACACACATACATCCACATTTCATATATGTGTATCAGTGTATGTAACATGCACGCGCACACACACACACGAGCACGTGCACATAAGCGCACACAGATGCAATCAGCTATCTGACCTAAAAAATAATCCTGATCCAATAACTTTTAACAACTTATCATATTTTGAAGATTCTCCATCATACCACATGCATGCATGCACACACATGCATAGGCGCGCACACACACACACACGCGCGTAGGTCACGCACACTCTCGCAAATGCAATCAGCTATCTGACACAAGGAATAATAGCTTACCCTATCGTATAAGGGTCAGCAACAGATCTAGTTCCTGATCCAATAACTTTTAACAACAGATCATATCTTGAAGATTCTCCATTAGTGACTTCTTCAAAAGTAACTTTGTCAGAAGGTTCTTCATCTGATGCCCCAAGAGATGTATGCAGGAGAAACTCGATTCATTAGTACAACACACGCATGTAATAAAATACAAGGGGGAAAGTGACAATGTGACGTCAATATCTAAAACAAGGGATCCATGAGGCAACTCCCAAATCATCAACCTTAAAATTCTGTATTATTGTTGTTTGTTTAGAGCAGATATCAGCTAGAGATACCCTTTTTACCTGAAAAAACTGGTGATGCATCAGATGGAAAATTTTCATCAACAGTATGTTTCTTATATCTTCGATCTAAATCACACTCTTTCAATGCTCTTGTTCTTTTAACTCCTGCTCAAAGAAGTGAATCTTCAGGTATAGTCATTTGTGTATGCCCAATGAGAAGTTAATAATGATGATACTCAGAATAGTGATAAACTGATAATAGTGCTCAAAGAATAATGTTTATCAATCCAATAAACAAACTAATACCGATGAAGGATTTATATTTGTTGATAGTTCAAATAAGTGCATTTCACCTCATATCTTATGATCGATTGTCAATGCTTTCCCTTAGTTCAGGATATGTGAAAACTCCTTGCTTCCTTTTAAATACTCAATGTACGTATCTGAATTTATGTCGAAATTTAAAATCTATGTTTGCCAATACTATATTTATCTATGATGGTATTTTCTATACACCATTAATGGAATAACAAGGATGCCTATTTTATATGCATATGCATACTTATTACTCAATGTACATATATTAGATAAGATGTCCCTTATTGTGCTGATTGTAGATAAAGCAAAAGAAGTTACAAAGTTTATCTACAACCACACCTTTTCCCTCAATCTTATGAGGAGCATACAAATGGAAGGGAGTTAGTGAGGCCGGCAAGAACAAGATTTACCACTAAAATCCTCACATTACATAGTATCTTATAACAAAAGGAAGGCCTGAGAAGCATGGTTACATTAATTGCCTGGCAAAGTCTATATGGGCCAACAAGACTAGCGGGAAGGATACAATATAAAATGGTTCTGAATACCCAGTTTTGGACCAATGTCGCCAACATAATGCTAGTGACTACAACCATTAGTGAAGGTGTTGAGGACTGTTGATAGTTATTCTAGGCTTGCCATGGGCTATGTCTATGAGGAAGGAAATCGAGAAGGCCAAGGAGGCAATAGCTTTAATTACAAGATAAGCTAGTATGAGAAGTATTGGGCTATTATAGATGATAGAGGGGATGAGCAATTGCATCACTCTATATATGTAGTTGCTTATTATCATCATCATCATCATCAAAACCTTTTTCCAACTAATTGGGGTCAGCTACACGAATCCTAGCCCTCCATTTTGCTCTAACAAGGGCTGTACCATCAGTGAAACCATAAGTCACCATATATTTTTTCAATACTTCCAACCATGTCCTTTTGGGCCTACCTCTTGCCCTTTTTTAGCCTTCAACTTGAACCAACTCATACCTCCTAACAGGTGTTGTACTAGGCTTGCACTACACATGGTCAGCCCACCTAAGTCTACTTTTTGTCATCTTATCACCCATATAAGACACACCTAAGTGCTCCCGAATGCAGCTGCTTATTATCTCAACCCAAATTCGTCTACGACAAGGCAAACTTTTCAACCCATCTCGAGATTTTGGGGGCTTGCATACCATGATAGAGATATTACATACTGGGACACATATGCAAGTGAATATTGGGAAGGAGATGTGCTCATATAAAAAGGCATCATGATAATTTGGAAGACGGATGGCGTTTTCCTTACATGGTGAAATCCTCCCAAGTATTTCATTTCATTAGTTTATTCTTTATTCTCTATTCCTTTTGAAGTTTAATACAATTTATAATAGTATGATAATGCTTTCTTATTATCTCTATTATTCAATTCCATTATCAGAAGATGGTGGCGAAGTTTCCAGCCTTCAAAGATTCGTTATTCATATCTCACCAAAACTTGTGATGCAAGTGGCTACGAGAGCAATTGGAGTATTTTCGAATGCATCCACACAAATAAGCGAAATAGGTTGAAGCACAAAGGGCTTACCAACTTGATCTTTGTGCAATACAAATTCAGCTTGAGGCAGAGTTGATAGGCACTTATCTGTCTTTCCATTACACATTCAATAATTGTAAAGTTCAACTTATATATCAAATTTTGAACAATATGAAATTTTAGGAATCGCAACCCCATGCAAAAACCCATATGCTCAGATCCAATTGATTTGGAGAATATCACCATTGTCAAAGATTGGGTAATTCATAAAGAGAGGAAGGCTTTTTAAGACTTTGCAGAGCAATGGGATAATTTGGATGACGATTAAACCATCATGAGAAGGTAGATTTTAAGTTTCATGATTTTTTTTTATTTGTTTTTTTATAATAGTTTCATGCTTTTATTTTTAAACCTTAATCACTTTATTTGCTTTCTTTTTTTAATCATATCAAATTATCCATAATTACTTAGTAATAAGTAATTCTCTTGGACTCTATGGTACATGATTTGTCATTAAATATTAAGTTTATGGCTTCATAACTTTTTTTTTTGATAATTTAGAGGTCAGTACAAAGGAATTCAATGATGAGGAAGGTGGAAATGGTGAGGATGGACGAGATGACACTGAAGATGGCAATTATCGATTACATATGTTTTTTTCTAGGATCTATGTATAAGAGACAAGTTTTGTGATAACTTGAATGTACCAAAATAATTGTTTGTTTTTAGCCTATGAGATGTGGAGTTGTGATGTTGTGAACTATTTTTTACTTTTTTATGCCTTCATATACTTATCTTCATGGTTCATGACTTCAATACTTTATAACCTTTTGTTTTGCCTTCAGTAGTTCAATTTCATTGTTATTGGCTTATTGCTCATGACCTATTGGAGCGCATCATGAGATTGAATCAACACACGAACATATGGTGTGTTATGATATTATTTTTGTCCCTAGTAAGAATTTTAATTGATTCTGAATTTTCTAGAATATTTCTAGTTTTTCATAATTTTCTCTATTTGTTTGAATTTTCTGTATATTTCATTATTTTATTTTATTCTTATTTAGCCGGTTTGACAATCGACCGGTCTAATAGAACCGGTGCCCCCAGTGTTTCTTACAAAGGTCCAGTCTTAATAGCAGTATAACACTTGAAAGAAATAACCCTGGATGACTGCGATCGGGATCACCATGATCATCCCCATTATTCATATTGGCTGTAGTTTGAGTCATTTAGCTTGGGCCACTTTGAATACATGTCATAATTTGCTATGCTCCTATGAATTTGATTATTGTTATGTACTTCAATTTGGACCGTTGGACAATTGAATGTAAGTCAAATAGTAAAACAAGCCAAAATTTACTTAAAACCCTTAACATCAGTAAGTTTTCTATTTTGTCTCAATAACTTGAACTTTGGAATGTATACCAAACAGGAACACAACTCAAAAACTGTTTAGAACCCTAAGTATCTAAAAGTTTTCTATTTTTCCTAAAGAAACATACAAAAATTTCTATTTTTAATTTTCCTCAATTTCTGTTTTTCCCATTTGTCCTGGATTTACTACATAAGATGGTCTGAAATTCAACTTAATGTTTCAAATATTGTAACTCAGCATACTGAATTCGAATAAAAAATCGTAGAGGAGTCTATAATCATTCATAAACAATCAAACAGATAAATATAACTAACATTCATCTTTGAAAGCGTTCAAAGGTACAATAATAACAGCTATAACATTTAATAGTTTAACTTATGACTCAAATGGAAAACAGTGTGTCATTGCTAATAGAAGATAATGATTGAATGAACACTGAAACTAACCTTTTGTGGCAGAAGGCTTTCCCATTCTCACATCAAAGAAAGCATACCCTGTTCATATAAATGTTGAGATGAGGGAATGAAAACCTTTTCTTGCTATGACTCCCGAAAACCTAGATTCTCCAATATGTAAAGATCAACAATAGCCTGAAAAATCAACTATATGATTCAGTAAAAGCCTCGCTCACCCGACCAGAGAGAGAGAGAGAGCTTTTTATCGACTTTAGAGAGAGAGACTCAGCAGAGCAGATAGAAAGAGAGAGAGCTTTGTTTAGTGTTAGAGAGCGAGAGAGGAGAGGTACTCAGCAGAGACATAAGCACTGGGAGGGAAGGAGACAAGGCAAGGATTGAAGCCAAAACAAAAACTTGACTCGTGAGAGTTTTAGAGACCGTGTGTTTTAGCGGCAAGTTCATTGAAATGTCGAAAACAATTGTACTCTCGCGGGAGTTACTGTCCATTTACTTCATCGGGTGAAACTTTATATAGGGCTGAGGTCACACGGGTGTGCCAATGGTATGAATGGTACTCAATACATCGTGTTGTGGTTTATATAAATAATAAGTTGATGTTTATTTACACGAGAAAGATAAGCATTGTTGTTATCGTAAAAGAAATATATATATTAAAAGACGTAAAAATGATGTGTTGACAACAAGATTTAGAGATTCAGTTTGCCATAATTTTGTCTAAAGTTATCTATCTCTTGAGTTTTAGATGAGTACATGTAGCATGCTCCTACATGGTATAATATAAATTAACTTACTCAAGTAAGAGATACTTGATAATTGGGTTGCGGTCATCATGATAGCACCATTTGTACGTCAACTAAGATCTAAACATCTATTCTCACTTAACACATTCTAAAATCTCTAACAATTTCAAAAACAGGGAGGAGCTCGTCACCCCACTTAATTATCAAAAAATAAATAAAAAAAATAAAGGATACTTTAGAAGATATTTTATATGAACTTTTTGGATCCAACTCATAATAACTTTATGATTATTTTTCAATCAAAAGAAGGGTTATGAGTTCTTCAACACCTGCTTCAAATATTGACGCTTCATGTTCATTCTTAGGATTTTTTTTTTCCAAGCACATGGAGCATTGCCATATATTCTTTTTCTTTTTTCAGGCTAATCATTGGTGGTTATATCCCTAAAAATTGGGGCCCTCAAAATATTCTTAATACGAGATTTACTTGAGGGAGCAAATTGGCAGCATTAGCTTGTGGCATTTGCCTGGTAAAATTTGGGTCAACAGTATGGTTTGTATAAAGGCGCTACTCTAAATTTTGTTGGAAGTTGTCCGTTTGGTGCACGAAATTTTCCTGGTGCCCTAAAAGTCAACTTTCACTTATAATTATAAAATTTAGAACTCTAAAAATGATGCACATATCCAAATAATGTGTTACAAAATGTATTATTTTTCACATTTCAAATCATTCATATGATCAATTTAAGGATTTTCTAGTGATGAAATTACCTTTATCAATAGATTTTTTCGCTATATTTTATTTATTTTATAATAGGTGACGCTTGTATAAGGTGCAAGTCTTATACTATGCCAATAGGGCTTATCTTATTTTCTTTAAATATGTAATTCTAATGTCGAAAGCCGTACGATGACTTGAAAATTCTTGTTCAAACGTATGTAGATTGAGCATATTTATAAATACTTTAAAAATTAATTGGAGTCGACTGCACAAATGTTAGCCCGCCATTATGCTCTATCATACCCTTGATGAGGCCATAAGTTCCCATATATTTATCATTACTGCATATCCATATTCTTTTGGTCCTATTTCTCCCAATTGTTTAGCCTTCAACTTGAACTGACTCACACTTCCTAACTACTAATGTACTTGGTTTGTACTACACATGGTCAGTCCACCAACTCTACGTTATTTCATCTTCTCATCTATTGGTGTCACACAAAATTTATCCCTTATTGTATTACTACTCATTCATTTCAATCTTTTTATCTTAGCTACACTTATGTTATGTGTATGTCGTTTATTGATTGCCCAATATTATGACTAAAAAAAGCGTATCTCACAACTATCCTATAAAACTGGTCATTCAGCTTCATTGGTTGTTGCATAAATAGAATTGCATACTCGGCCACCCAATGCAATTGAGGGTCCCACTCCTGTATTCGCTTCGATTATCATATAAAACTTCGTTTGCACTTGTTTACTTTGCTTGTGTAGCGCTAATTCTATATGCGACATCTTCCTCAATCTCGTTAGTTTCATAAATTATCAACCCAAGATATTAAAAGGCTCTTTGTAATATTTATCGGTTATTAATATTAACTTTATCGTTTATATTATTATCACTAAGTTTACATTCTATCTACTCTATCTTAGTATAGCTAATTTTAAAACTTTTAGATTCAAGAGCATCTATCTAAAATTCTAATAACACCCTTTCCAATCGCATAAATCAAAACTATATTCTCTACAAAACAACATACATCACATTAATTCATTTTATAAGTACCTAAATTTCCAATATACTCCAAGTGCGCACGTGCTTAGTTCAACCCTCATATAAACGAAGGCTCATTGTGAACTAGGGTTTGCTGCTCTCGTTAGGGTTTACTCATCTCTGTTTCTGCCGATCCAGACGAAGAGAGATAGAGAGAGAAAATGGGAGTTTTCACGTTTGTTTTGAGAAGCACTGGAGGCGAATGGAACGCTAAGCAGCTATCTGGTGAGTTGGAGGCCTCCGCGTCTTCAACTTTCGAGTTGCAGAGAAAGCTTGTTCAAGCTGCCTCGTCTCAAGATTCATCTGGTGGTGTTCAGTCTTCTTTCGCCATGGTTTCTCCATCTTCTGCAGTTTTCCAGGTCAGATTTCCTCCATTTCACTCTCCCTCTCTCTTCCCCGCAGCCATCTCTCTCTCTTCATTTATCCATCACTTCTCCTCTACCTCTCTCTCTATATATACTTATTGATTTCTTTATCTCTGATATGCATCCATGTGCTCGTGTGTATATTTCAGAAGTTACCAAAGATATCGTGTTTATGATTCTGGTGTTGCCAGTAACTTTTCTCGATATCTTTCCATATGAAAGGAATTAGACTGTGTATTTTAAGATATTAAGTTATATCATGGTTGTGACGAGTAACTATGGAAAGGAATTAGAATGTGTAGTTTAAGATATTAAGTTATATCATGGTTGGGATGAGTAATGCGGTTACTGGTTTGCCTTTGAAAGTCATATTTTATAATTTACTACGAAATGAGCTATAATTTAGTAAGAAATGAATAGGCGTAGCATGAGTGTGCTTTTATTTATTAGATTAGTTTGTTTGGTGCCCAAATTATTTGAACTGTGAATTGCATTATAAGAAGAGACCAAGTGATGTATTTTTTTCCCTCATTCTGTGATTTATTTACTTGATTTCACAGTGTAGATGTTTTGAGGTGTTTGCAAACACCAAACACCAAACACGTGTGCTGTATTTAATTGGGATAAATAGTGTTTCTTATGTTCTCTCATGCAAAAGTTTGAGATAAATGCGTTGTTTTTATGTTCTATAATACAAAATTTTATGCATGAGTCCATTGCTATTGGGTCTGCTAATAGTGATTAAGCAGCAGCACTGCATTTTCGGGCTGGTTTCCTCTTCTTCTTCATTGTTTCTGATTTGTTTATTGGGTATGTGCATGCATATGGGTAAAGGGTTTTACGCTGATGGTGCATATCTTTTGTTTGTATTGTTTATTACTTGAAGTATCAGTCATCTATGTGACTACGATTTGTGACGTACTATGGAATGGCAATACTATTTCTTTGAATTTTTCTTTGCTCCTATCTTGATCTTCCAAAGCCATGTCATAGAACTTGGTATTCATACTCAACTACTTTAGTTAATTTTAGTTTGTGGAATGAGTTTTACTGGTCAAACATGACAACGTTCTAATAACGATCTAGTATTTATTCACTTGAATTAAGAACCCCCTCCTTTGCTCCCCCTCTTTTCTTTTTGTAATTCATTGTTTATTATAACCCTCTGACAAACTCCCCCAAAAGCATTGACGACATATCCATTTTTTGAAGACCATTTTTCTTGAGGCAAATCCAGTACAAGGACATCAATTTTCTCAAGTTATTTTGGAATACCTCAATCGAATCAATACTGATTTTGTTGTCCACATGTTTGTTGCCGTTAGGCGGTTCGCTAATTAGATTATACTTGACAATTATGTTTGTTTTCTGAGTATTTTTATCTCATCACATCTTGTTGAATTAGGGACTGGGTTGCTTGGTAGAAAGAAAACTTAGTGTGATTGACTAATGGTCATTTCAGCATATCTATTTCTCAATTTTAAATTGTTCTTATGGTTTTGCATTTAGTTGCTGTTTTGTTCTGGATTTGTGGTTGTCTCTAGTATTTATTTTATCTATAGTTGGTTTGTAAAAAGTAATTGGATATGTATTTTGCTATGTCCGCACATTATGATTGGGTAATGAGGCTCTCTTGCAAATATATGTGTTTCCCATGTGTCCATCATCATTGTTTTATGAGCAATGGCAATGGATTGTAGTGATTTGTGATTGAGTTTGTTACTAGGCACTTATTTGCTTAGAATAAGCTATATGGGCGTGGAATTCTCTTTGAAATGATTTCTTTTCTCTTGTCCCATTTTTTACACAGTTATGTTCTTATACTTAGAAATGGCCATGAGGATGTTTCGCTCGGTATTAGGTTTTTTTGGTTTTACTTTCTTTTGAACTGTTTCTAGTGATTATTGTTTTTTGTTTGTTTGCATGCTTTATGTTCATGAGGACATGATAACACGGTTTCTAGGTTCTCAAAAAGAAAAAAAGGGAGGGGGGGTTGATTTGACCAAAAACTGGAGTACGCAATTTTCATTGGAGTGAGTATAGCAATTGCGTGAGAGGGGGGGGGGGGGAGGGGGGCGGTTGATTTGACCAAAAGCTGGAGTACTCCAATTTTCATTGTAGTGAGTATAATAAATGTGTGATGTCCTGTATTTTTGCCTTTTTTTAGTTAGTTACAACGAGTGATTAGATTTCTTTGGGCACTAGATTTTGCACGGCATGTTTTAACTCATGAGAAAAGTTGACAGTGGCCCTTTTTTGTTGTTAGTAGGATCATACTGTTTGATATAAACTTAATTCCTTGGGGAAGAAAACTGAGGTGCTCTTCCTGTTACATTGTTGTAATATTTCATGACCTGTTTCTCATGAAGTATCAGGGAGAGAGAAGGTTGGGGTGGGGATTGTGCCAATGGGGATGAGTCATGAGATTGCTTCTAGAATTTTGCACAACCCTTCTGAAATCTGAGAGGATAAGATTTATTAAGATGCCCTTATATTTATGTAAAGAGTAAATAGCATCCAAGGCAAGGCGGTTCAGTCTAATGGGGGTTGTGGCCCCTAGACTTCATATTGAGGTTGTTTCTGTGTTTTAGTCTGTTGGTTGTTGCTAATTGGTATGGGCTGATAGCCTTTCAATGTTTGCTTTGCATTATTTTAAATTTTTCTTGCTTAGATGCTTCTATACCAAATGCATTCAAATCTCTCTTGTTTCTATTGTGTGATCTGTTCATTGATTAGCTTTGCACAATTCGGATGGGAATCATGGGATTCTATTTGGTCAGGACATAAAATCATTTATTTATCTTTTTGGTCAGGACATAAAATCATTTATTTATCTTTCTAGCTTGTATTTAATCTAGTTCATGCGTGTGCAACCTGTTTGAGGCTTTGAGCTATTTGGGTTTCTGTTCAGGTGGTTATCGGTGGAGGTGGTGGAGGTGGTTTTATCGGGGGTGGCGCTGCTGCAGCAGCAGCACCTTCTGGTGCTCCAGCAGCAGCAGAGGCACCACCAGCTGAAGAGAAGAAGGAAGAGAAAGAGGAGAGTGACGACGACATGGGTTTCTCGCTTTTTGATTAATTATCTCTCTTCACGTTTGAATCTATTTTACTTCTCTATCTTTTGAGGGAATTTTGTGTTAGTAATCCATGGACCTTCAAAAACTGTAGCAGTGACGAATATTATGGTAGCATGTCGTCTGGAGAGTTAAATTTGGTTTGTCAAAGTTGTGGAATGATCGCTTCATGAAAATGTGCAAATATCTCCATTTTTAGAGGGTTGGAGGTTAAATTTCCGCTTTTTCTGAATTTAATTTCAGTATTTTGCTAAGGAGATGTATCCAATGAGCACAATGAAGTTTACTACATAACTTTCTCACCATCTCAGCCATTGATGTGAACATGAGAGGGCTGAGGGACGTCATTCCACCGCAGAAGGATGTCTAAGGTCTTGACATCCAACTGCTGGGGTGAAAGTTGTCTAGGAAAATTCACTTTATACATTAGTCCTTTTGCTTATCCGAGTGCAGGTGGTGTTAATTAGTTTTAACACATTAAAAGGGAAAAATGTCTAAAAAATACGAATTATAATTTTAAAAGTAATCTATTTTCTAGTACTGATTATATGTTGTCAGACTATTTATCTTTAGTACCAAGAAGCTACAATCACTTTAGCCGTCAAATATGAAATTATGCAATACAAGGCGTGTTATATCTTTCATTTGGGGCTTTGGTTTTTTTTGTTAAATGGTACTAAAAGCATTTGACTACTTTCCCTTTCTCGTACTCTTCGTTTCTTTCCTCGCTGCATATCACAAATTTATTTATTTTTCCGGAGAGTAATATTATGAAAGCATTTTATGATTCCTGTTCATATGTACAGTACTCCAGCTATGAGAAGTTAGCAAGGGGTAAACAAAGGGATGCCTGTATGCGTTATTCCTTTGCTCGATGTCCATCAAAGTTTAACGATCGACTCATCCTAGTCATCCCATGGCTGTGGTCATGTGTTTCTTGTGTGGCGCTCTTTGTATTTACAACTAATTGGTGTGTATAAATCCTTTTTAAAGGGACATTTATCACATTTTTCCTTTGAGAACATTTCAAAAAGGAAGAAAAGTGAGATATGGCCATAATTATCCAAAGTGGACCGATTGATTGGACCATCAATCGGTGCTTTGGTCACTCAGATACGAGTGTTAAACTGGTATTTTTTTGAGCACTAGTCAAATTTGATAGTTGTTCGGGTGAATTGGCTTGACTGTCAGTTTTGCCGGTTTTTTTTTATATGAACCGGCCTAATTCCCCTCCTTCCTTTTTACCTCTCGCCATATTTTGGTTTGATTATTACATTTTTTTTTTATATTTTTCATTTTGATTGCACATGATATTTTATTTCTACAATCGAGAGGGCATCAAGACTTTGGCCAAAATCATCAACCTGAAAAAAAAAAAAAAAATCTTATCATTTTGACATGCATTCCAACTTTTTAAAAATTTCTTACCATTTTGACATGCATTCCAACTTTTTAAGCAACTTCTCACAGGAAATTATTAGCCAAAAAGCTGGATTACAGAAATTTTTCATTACAATTTACACGAGTTACATTCGCCGATACATCGTAGAACAGGGAGTGTAGGTTTCATGTCCTTCAATCAGGCTTTAGGGTTGTCGAACCTATACTGTGTCTCAACTTACAAAACACCTATCCAACTTAAAAGAATAATTCCCTTTTTTTTCTTTCTTTAAAAATCATACCTCTTTATACTATTTCCCTATATTTTCCTTGAGTGAGAGAGAATGGAATTACAGTGGAGTAAATACACTACCTTTTTATTGCCAAAAGAATTTGTTCATTCACTCCTTAAGGTGAAAACAAAATTAGGAGTAATCATAGGACCCCAAGTTTTGGGGATTTAGCCTCTTTCATATAGTGATATTAGTAAAAAAAAAAGAAAATCGCATTTCTATACACTTTAAAAAATAATGTCTCAAAATTGAATAATGACCATCTAGTTTCTTGAGAGTGTGATTTTAAGTGTCAAAAAACTTAAAACTTAAAATTTACATTCTATGCTTTGAAGAAAATCATCTAAGGATTCTTAGGTGATTTCTAAAATTTTTATATTAAAAAAATCTTCCGTGCATGATGATATGTTAGGAGCATATTGTAGGCGCTCTTTTTTATTTCCTTCTTGAAAACAAATATCTAAATTGCTTGAACTTTGGTGGCACAAAAATGCCTTTAGGTGCATCAAACTTAACGCAAAACATTTATGCTGGAAACCATGGAGGGTATAAAGAACTTCGACAAGTTATTAAAGGGTGATTACGGACAGGGGCAATTTAGGTATTTGCAGCCACATGACTACATGCGGTAGTTACGAATGGTAGCCGGCATGCAACTACCACGCAAGTTTTCCAGAACATAAAAAAGAAAGCAAGGGTATTAACGACATTTAGGGAATATCTTGACGACAATGTCGGTTCCGTTGCAAACTTGGGATCTAAGTTAAGGATAGTCTGCATGATCGAAGACTTTCCATGTCACTGACTTTGCATGATGATTGAAGTTTCGAGCTATTTGATTTGGATGGACGGCTGTGATAGTTTTATTTATAGTATTATTTTTAAAATAATTTTATTTTTTAATTTTTTATAAATTATTTTAATATAAAATTCGAAACATGCCTTTTATCAAGAGAAAAAGTTTATATAAGGATACTATCTTATAATGTAGGACTAGGGATGCCCGTAAAAAATCCATCGGAATAGGTAGTTTCAATGTTGAAAAACCCTTTGATTAATCATCTCAACATCGAGATGCATGACTATGAAAAAAAAAGATTTTAAGTCTCATAGATAGTGCATTTTACAACATATTATCACCGTCCATTTTCAAGATTTTCATATGTTGATAGATCTACTTGATTTTAACCATTTTTTAAATT